TAGAGCCCCACCAAATTCTTTTTCAAGCTCTCATCCAGCCCCCTCTCTCCACAGCCACTAATTCCGTGTGGAATGTCTGTTGTGTCACAAGACTCGGTGGTGATTTGCCTCTCTCCCGACCTCTCCAATCACCTTCTCCTTTTCCTTCTCATCCTGTGTGCTAAATGACCTCTTCTTTCATCCCTGGCATTTGCCTTCCTGTGCTGCTGTTATAAACTTCCTTTTCCCTTCTTGGACCCTTCAGCGCTCTAATAATGCCAAAGAGGATGTCTTTTTCCTGGATCTACTTCTCTATCTGGTCCCTCTTTCCAGGAGGAAGCTCTCTGGGTGGCTGGACCTCCATTCTTCCAGACCTTGTCCTGGCCAAGGAGTGTGGTTTTGATTATAGCTTTGGGTGGGTCATTCGTGTCTCCCTCCGGCTCTGACCTGGCATTTCACACGAGCCTCGTGGGCCTTTCCCTCTTGCTGTCTCTGATTCCTCCACCTCAAAACATCTGAGCCAAAGTCACGGCCTGGCCCCAAGCTCACTTCTCCTTCTGTGTGCTTGGCTTCAGTGAATGGGGTCACCAACCAGTGAAGCAAACTGGAAATGATGTTGACAACGTTGACTCCCTTCTCGCTCTCTTCTTTCTGTGTCACGAAAGACAGTCACAAGCTGCCACGGGCTTTATTCTCACATGGGCTTACGTCCTTCTCCCTGCTTCTGTCCAGGGCCTACCCTCGGCTTTCCTGAGTAAAGCCCTACTCTTCCACCTGTTCTCCATTGCTTGTGGAAGCCTCTGTACCAGTTCCACTGTTCTCCTCTCCTGTGCTGCCTCACACAGGCCCCTGCCTGCCGACAGAATGAATCATGGTGGGCTTAAATCTGCTCCCCTCTGGTGGATTCTCATTCTGTCAGTCAGGGATCTCCAGAGAGACAGAGCCAACAGCATGCAGATGAGCAGGTAGAGTTGTATGAGAGGAGATTCCTGCGGGCCGGGGGTGGCTCCTGTGATTACGGAGGCCGAGGAGTCTCAAGACAGGGTCCACGGGCTGGGGACTGCAGGAAGTTGGTGGTGTAGCTCAGTCCAAGTCTGAAAGTCTAGAACCAGACTCTGATTATGCAATGCTCCATGCCAGGCTGAAGACCTGAGACCCCAGGGACCTCTGGTGTAAATCCCAAGGCTGGGGAGGACAGGTATCCCAGCTCAGGAGAAAGACCCAAGCTTCTTCTCTCTGTTTTGATCTACCCAGGACTGAAGGCAGTTGGGTGCTACCCACCCCCAACCAGGATGGATCTGCCCACCAGGTGCACGCAGACTCACGCCAGTCCCCTGGAGAAGTTCTGCGGAAGCACACAGAAATAATTATTTAGCCAAGTGTGGTGGCCCATGCCTGTAATCCCGTCACTGTGGTTACGCTGAGGCAGGAGGATCACAAGGTCAAGGCTAGCCCGGGCAATTGAATAAAACCCTGTCTCAAAATAAAAAATTAAAAGGGCTGGGGATGTGGCTCAGTGCGATGCCCCTGGGTTCAACCCCCAGTACCACAAAACAACTACAGTAACAAAAGCTTTTCCGGGTTTTTACGCATTTCTTACTACTTGACCCCTAAAATGAACCATCACGCTCACTTTCCAGGCTCTTTTGCAGCACAGAGTGCAGATGTGATTCAGTTCCCGCCACTAAGATATAGAGGGGAAGCCTGGGCAAAGGCCTCCCAAGAGAAAGACCGTCTGCCCTCTCCCCAGCTCTCTCAGTTGCCTTTCTGTTTTGGATTTTTTGAGACAGGACCTTGCAATGCAGTTCAGGCCGGCCTTCTCACAATGTAGCCCACAGTGATTTCTTCTGCCTCGGCCTTCTGAGTGCTGGGAGTACAGCGCACATCTGTAACTCAGCCTCACATGCCGGTCTCCCTGGAGAAGCCCTCTGTGCCTGGCTCATCATTTTCGTCCAGGCTGTAGAAGCGTCAGCTCCCGGGGTGGCATTTACCCTGTGCAACCCCCCTCTAGCTAAGAACTCTGTCCCGTTACCCATGGTTCATCGGGACCTGCACTAGGTGGGTGGGAGCCTAGGAGCCCGGAGCAGCGAACATCCAAAGGTGTCCCCAACGAGGCCATATCCCAGTGACCCTGTGCTTGGGCAGTGGCTCTTGCCCTAATGTACCCTGCTTTTCTGGCACATTTGAGCTCACAGAATGAAGAGGAAATGGTGCTTTTCCAGTCTGGGCCGAAGCTTTAAGACCTGGTGGGTTCTGGTTTTACACTCACAGGGGCCCTAAGCCACTGGTGCAAGAAACTCAGCTGCCCTGAGGAAGTACGAGCTGAGGCCAGGAGAGGCCTTGTGGAGGAGAAGTGAGAATCTTGGCCAACACCGAAGGCTGGGGCTCCAAGCTCATGACTTCATGCGAGCCGTGACAGCGGGCCCCCACCCACTTGTGTTTGCAGAGGTAACACTACCCTCAGCAGAGACCAGAGGGGAAACTTGGGTAGAAAGTAACTGCAAATCTTCTGGTCAGGCCCGAAAGGCTTCTCTGCCTCTCAGGTGGCTGCCACACTCTGCTTATGCTGCCCTCTTGGCCTGGATTAGCTGCCCTGGCTGTCACATCCATGCGTCCTTCACAGCTCAGCTTGAAGCCCCTTCCTCCGTAAAGCCACCGTGATTCTGTTAACTCTGAATGTGGGTGTTTTGGCCAGCTCAGGTGCAGCTGTGTGCCGTGGCTAACTACACACTTCCTCTTCCTTTCTTGTTGTAAGAAATTTTGTTTGGATGAATTATGTCTCCCCCTTTTAGTGAAACTGCCAATCAAGTTCTCATACAAATTAAGAAGGGTGTCAGAGAATTGAAAATGGGTGGCCAGGTCCCCCAGGCTTCTCTGACCCATGGCCTCACCCTCTGGGTCTGTGAACCGTTCTCCAGCTCACTGAGAGTTCTGTCTGTCCCCTTCCATTCCCCACGCTGGCAGTTAGTGCAGCCCATGTGACCAGTTCTGACCATTGACATCAGAGTAGGATGATGTGTGTGACTTTCAGGCCTCTGTGCAAACTTCCAATCTCTCTCTTCTGCCACCATCACGTGAGGCTTCACGTCTTAGACGGCACCGAAGGGCACCCACAAGATGGGGGAAGTCCATTAGTTTGAGTCTCTGGCTGAGTGGAGGGCAGGGCCTCCTAGCGATAGTTGGGATTTTGAGTGTCCTCCAGAGGCCCGTGTGTTAAAAACCTAGTCCCCAGTGTGGCACGTTTAGGAGGTGGTGGAACCTTTCAGGGATGTGACCTGTTGAGGGGTCTTCAGGCCTGCTGGGGATTGTGGGGCCTCTTTCCTTTCCTCCTCTAATTTGCTCTCAGAGAGTGGGTTATGCCCACCCTGTGCTTCTACCTGATGCGTTGCCTCGTCACAGGCCCAAAAACAATGGGGCCACTGCCCATGGAATGAAAACTCTAAAACTGTGAGCCCAAATAGAAGTTGATTATTTCATGTATTTTCTTAAGTGATGGAAAGCTGACTGACACACTCCTGTGACGTGTATGGGACAGCAGCTAGAAATAGCAATTTGAGGGATATTTGTTAGAGCAGCATAACCTACCCTAGCCTGACTAATAGGTACCCAGTACTCTGCTAAACTTTTACTTAAAGTACCCCAAGTTAGTTTCTTGTACCTAAAGCAGCTTAATTGATAAGCTCTACCAGCTTTACCAATTTATTTCCTGATTATACTTACTAACGTGAATCTATCCCATTTTTTTCTTATTAGCTGAAAGCAACTTGCTTTTAGGGACTACTGAAATTCATCTTTGTGGGATTGGGAGTAGAGGTCAGTGGCAGAGCATTTGCCTGTTAGGTACAAGGCTCTGAGTTGGATCCCTAGCACTTAAAAAACCTCATTTATCTTTGTGTCCTTTATGGCTCTCAATAAATATTTGTTAGGATAAATACAAAAAGTGAATGAAGATGAAAAATTTGGCCAAGCAACTAGATACTTTCTTTTCAACTATAGTTTCCAAATGCATTTTCAAGTGAATTTTAATTAAAAGATGGGCCAGGGATTTAGCTCAGTGGCACTGTACCTGCCTGAAGAGTGCAAGGTCCTGAGTTCGATTCCCAAACCAAGAGAGAGAGAGAGAGAGACAGAGAGAGAGAGGGAATTAAGATTATGATCACAGCTCTATTTTAATGATAAATGGCACGCATGCTTATGTTTTAATTACATTGTAATTTCAATCGTATAATAGAGATTGCATCTCTGTTGTTACAGTGATCGTGCCATGTACTGTGTATATATGTATATGTATGTTTTCAGCCATATTATAGTCAGAACTTTAAAAAACTTCATTCAGTCCTGAAGTGTCAAATACTTTTGCAACATCAGTACAATATTCCCTGAGCCCTCAATTTGTGACAGGCACTCTGGGGTTCTGACTTTCTCCCCCCGACTCCACCCCATTGTAGCCAAAAGGAGAAGTACAAGTTTGGAACAGTATGTCCAGTGTTCCCTGAGAAATAAATCATTTTCAAATCATGAAATAAGGGCCCAGGAAACTGCTGGACCGATGAAGAAGAAACATGGAGAAGAGAGAAGTCTCCATTTTTGTCTGTTTTAAAATACACACATGTGGGGCTGGGGATTTAGCTCAGCAGTTCGGTGGCCTGCCTCGAAAGCACAAGGACCTGAGTTCGATCCCTGGTACCACAAAAAAATAAAAAAATAAATATAAATAAAATAAAATAACCTTAAAATACACACATGTGAGGTGGGTATAACTTCCGACCTGCACCCAGTGAGAGGAGGAGAAAAAGAGGACTGTTCTATTGGAGTGACCTTTAGGAGCGCAGGATGGGGGGCAGCTGAGTGAATTTAAGGGTGTCATTGCCTGGTGCTGCTCAGACTTGTGCGCGCGCATGTGTGTGATCCCCAGGGGATGTTAAAACAGCGTGGGGCTCAGGCTCACCTCGTTAGACGGAGCACAACCTTCCAAATAGCATCTGTGCTGCGGGTCTGAGGGCCACACTTGGAAGGTCCAGGGCAGAAGAGTCCTGTGTGACCAGAAAGTAACTCTAATCTGAGAACTCCTCTCATGCCTGATCTGGGGTTTCGATTAGCTTGCCCAGAATTCAGCTTTTGATCACTCCTTTTTAAGTGGGTTAGGAAATCACTATTCCTTTGCGTCTTATCTGAAAATCACTTCTCTGGTAACTTCACTATCTTTCTAGAAAACAGTCAAGAATATGGAAGTGGGGAAAACAGGTCTGAGAAGAAACGTGTGTAGCAAGTTTACTTACTAAACCTTATTCACTTTACTGCTGTGTATCTAGTTTTGTGTTGGGGCCACTTTTCTAAGAAGACTGGCTGTTGTTTTGCACAGGCCTCACCCCATTAAGAGAAGAGAATTAGTTTAGCACGTGTAGCCCCAGCTACCCAGGAGGCTGAGGCAGAAGGATTGCTTGAGCCTGGGAATTCAAGACCAGCCTAGACAACCTAGAAAAACCTGATCTACTGAAAAAAATAAAAGGTTTCAGAACAGGCAATTATAGGAGAGACTAGAATTGCTGATAGTTTTACAGAGGGAAAGAGATGGGAATGTTATGAAAAATGAATCCTACAATTCAAATTGCAGGAAGCTGGGCATGGTGGCGCACGCCTGTAACCCCAGCACTTGGGAGGCTGAGGCAGGAGGATCTCTGTGAGTTCGAGATGAGCCTGGGCTACATAGTGAGTTCTAGGTCAGTCTCAACTACATAGTGAGACCCTGTCTCAAAAAACTGAAAAAAAAAAAGAACACTCAGGATAATCTTGGGGTATTCCCTGTGCTATGGTTTGGATCTGGACTGTCCCCCAAACACTCATATATGTGTTAAACATTTGTTCCCTGGAGTGGTGCTATGGGAGGTGGTCTGCCTTGAGAGGCAGACCCTAGGGGGAGATCTTCAGGTTATTGGGTGTGGCGGCCCTTCAGGGAATAGTGGAACTCTGGTCTCTTCTTTGTTTCATTTTTCACTTCCCCACTAATAAGGGGAAGGGCTTTTCTGTGCCACATGCTCCCACATAATGCTGCCCCACCACCATAGGCTGCAAAGCAATGGGTCCTTCCATCCATGGGCTGGGACCTCCAAAACTGTAAGTCTAAATAAACCTCTTCTCTTAGTAGTTGATTGTCTCAGATATCTGCATAGTAATGCAGTGCTACCCTGTAATTGCAAAAGGTACTAGATGGATTAACCGCTCTCAAAGACATTTCTAGAAAAAAAAAAAAAAAAAAAGACATTTCTTGGGCCCAGGATTTAGCTCAGTGGTTCCAGTGCCTGCTTTGCAAGTGCAGAGAGCCAAGTTCAATCCCTGGTACCAAAAAAACAAAAAACAAAAACAACAAAAGAGATTTCTGGACTCATCAAGAAAAGATAAATCTATATTTCAGAATTATTAAAATAAAAAAGACAAAGCTTTAAATCGGTTATTGTTTATAGTGATAATGTAGTTATATGAAAAATTTACTTATTTATAATGACACTCAGATGATGCTAGGTAAATATGGCTGTAAACATATCCCAATTTTATATATATGAATATATATGAATAACTAGTATCAATTTCTTTATATCTGAAGTCTTTATGATTACAGGTTCAATTATTTTTAAAATAATATTTCTTATAGATTATAAAATAAGATATGGTCTTAGACAAAAGTTAAAAGAGAGTAACAAGACATTGTTACCTAAGATCCCACACTCAGATGATGAATGTGTAATATTTTCATGTATGAGCTTCTAGTTTTTTCCTCCTTTTAAGCATTCTGCATTATTTTTCTGACATCAAGTGTTCTTTCAAAATCTTCAGGCCCCCTAAGCTTCCGCAGAACATTTCCACACTCCAGCCACTCTCCTTTGTACTATCTGGACACAAGCAAGGAAGAGGTTTCCCCTCTTTCCCGACACCCCGAGGCTCTGAGGCACTTCACAAAGGTAACGTTCGTGGGTGACTCAGAAGTGGAATCCCTGGGTCAAGAATGCAGACACGTCTGGGCTTTGTAAGAGCCCAAGGAGAGATGAAACAGCCCCGGTCTCTCCCAGTGTGCACTTTCCTGCCCAAGATCTGAACCTTTGCTGACTTTTAACAGGAACTGTGTTAAAAGCTGACCCTCGGCATCTGTCACCAGCCCTCTAAAATGTTACATTAGGTTTAGTCTTCACATGGCATACTACTGCGTGGGTTGCCCCCAGCTCGGGGGTGCTTGCTGAGTCTTGGAGGATCACAAGAGCTCAGCCCCAGTCACCCGTGGGATCCAGCTGATTAAAAAAGCCTCCTATCCAGTTGTCTCTGGGCATCACGGCCTCTGCGCATCACTGTTGTCTGACTGTGTTTCGGCTCCAGAATTCTTAAAACCTGTTCTGGTTCTGGGGCTGCCCATTCGACAATGGTAAATAAAAGCCTGCCAAGATCTTTAAATTTGTTGCTTTTTTTTTTAAGACAGAGTTTCCCTGTGTCATTCAGGCTGGCCTTGAACTCACTATGTAGCCCAGGCTGGCCATGAACTTGTGGCGATCCTCCTGCCTCCTCAGCCTCCTGAGTGTTGGAATCACAGGTGCGTGCCACCATGCCCAGCTAAATCTGTTATAATTTTGTCTTTTCATAAAGATGGTGATGAGTAGAGGGATCATTTGCCTTTTCTGTGCCAACACCTCACACCCACTGCTTCCACTGGATCAAATTAAAATGATACGAGACACAGAAGTTATTGATAATGTCAGGAAAGGCGTTGGGTCTGGGGCTGGCACGAGATCTGGTTTCCAATCTTCCTCTTTCCGTTTTCTTCTTCATTTATTGCTGTGCACTTAGAGAGACAGAGAGAGAGACAGAGAGTGAGAGAGAGAGAGAAAATAGACTTCTCATATTCTCACTCTTCCTATTAGAAGTTTACAAGAAAATAGAGAAAAGTGAAAGAAAAGATAGTTGCGAATTTTTCCACCATTCAACACCAACTACTGTTAACATTTTGACATATTTGCCTCCATCCCCTTTCTGAAATCAAGTTTTGAAAAATTACGGGAACACTGTATGGATGTCTGGTTGGATTGTTTTAATATAAAAGTAGAAATTACAGGTAAACCTCCAAAGTACTTCCCACTCACACCCTGACCTTTCTTCTTTCTAGGTGTCTTTTAGTTGGGATTTTATGCCACTTCCAATCCTTAAAGAGAAAACAATTTTCTATACATACACTCATCAAACCGTAATATACATTTCTATATTGCATTTCACCAAATATGCGCAACTGGTAATCTTGCCATAGCATTTTATATCTGGCTTGTCCCCGCTTTTGCATTCAGCATTCTTGCACGTAAATGCTTGACAGTTCATTCCTTCTGATATTACACAATCAGCCCCTGTGCAGGAACATTTTGCATTTTCATTTCCTTGCTGATGGGTGTGTGGGACAGCTCATTTTGTCCTTTCTGCTGACATCGTTGCAGCAATCCTCAGGCACACAAGACCGTCTCAGTTAAATTCCTAGAAGCAGGATTGCTTGATGAGCTTTTTCAATTTCAGTAACACTAAATTGCCCTCCGGAGAGGCTGTGACACTTACACAACCCTACATGTGTATGGCAAATCAGTGGTGTCTCCGTATCATTGGCAGTGTTTTGTCATTTTCATGGAGGGAAGGTTGGCAGCTTTTTCTTGCTTTTATTTCCAACTAAGGTCAAACATATTTTCATAATACACACACACACACACACACATATTTTGGCCATTTCAATTTTTTCTAGAAGACATATTCTTTTGCTATGCCAGTAAGCTCAATTTTTGCATACGTTTATAATGTATGTGGGCCTGACATTTCTTTAATTTTGCTATTTTCCTTTTGGCATTGAGATTTGCCTCACAGAATGTATCAGATAGCTTTCTTTATCTTCATATTGCAATGCAGTTTAGTATTTTATAGTATTTTTTTTCTTTTTCGATTGCTGTAGTTTAAATAAAATTTTAATTTTATTATTATTTTCTTCTTGGGCTAAGCTTTGTAATTTGTATTTTTGTCAAAAATTTGTATTTTTTCCAAATGGATTGGAAAAAAGTTGATCATAGTAAACTTGTCTTCTCTAGAATGCTATTCTATCTGGTGTGTCTTCTTTGCCATTTATAATATTGCTTACTTGTGCCATTTTCTTGCTAAATCTTACAAGAAGTTTGTCTACATTTTTGGTCTTAATAGAACACTCTCTTTTGGTGTATATAATCAACTGCAATGTTTTGTTTTACTTGTTTCTGCTTTTATTATTTCCTTCTTTCTGCTTTTCTCTGAGTTTATTTAGGTATTATTTTTCTGCCTCTTAAACTGAGCAATTCACTCCTTTACATTTTTGTTTTGTTGTATAGCAAGTGCACATAAGACTATAAATTCCCCTGTACTTATTGTTTTAGTTGGGTCTCACGTTTATGTCAGGCTTTCGTTATCATTCTTGTTTGAATATTTTGTAATTTCCATGTAGGTTTTTTTAATGTATTTTCTAGTTTTCAGATGTATGTTATTTTCTTTTTAAAATGTATGACAAAATCAACATTCAGAAAGGTTACAAAAGTTAATGAATAACTGGGTACACATTCCTATACCCTTCACCTAGCTTAATAAATAAAACTCAAACATATGCATATAATTTTTATTTTTTATAAGAATAAATGTACAGAGTAAAACAAAATACTCATTCTGACTTCCTGACCCCTTCCTCAGAAGCAGCTTCACTTATTAATTTAAGATGTATGCATTGAAAGGGTTTCTTTTTGGCTTTGTGTTGTTTTTAATTTTACTATTGTGGTTCATGAATGTGGTCTATAGATTCTTTGGAACTTACTGAAGTTTCCTTTGTGGCCTTGTACCTAGTTACTGCGTATGCTCCAAGGATGTTTGAAAAGAACATCTACCAAAGTTCTTTCTGTAAAATATCAGCTTGATCTCATCACTTCTTCTCTGACAGCTTCTAGCATCTTCAGGGGAAACACCAGCCCCCTTAGCATATTATTTGATCCCAAGCTTCCTGTAGCCAAGGCCCTGGCCACTTCCCTTATGAACAACAAGTTTGTGTGCCTGTAGCTCTCATGTACATTAGGGTCAACTTTCAGAACATTTGAACTGTCAAGACTTCTCAAGGAGCACATGGGTGTCCCATGCCAGGCACATCAAAGGTCCTAACTTAAAATGAAACACAAAGTGTACTGTCTTCTGAGGGTCCAGTCACAGTGAGGTAGGACAGGCACTCTGTGGGGACACTGTGCACTGTCAACTCCAACCTCTCTCCGTTTGTTGTTACTGAACCAGGTCCACCTCACCGAGATGCTGGTTGCTCAATTGTCCACTGTTGTTTCTCCTTCTCCTGTCTGCCTGCCCCTACTAAGACGAATGACTTTGAAGCTCCCCCTTCTAGTCAGTCCCAGCACCCATTCTGTAATGAACGTGAACTGAGCTTCTGTGCCAGGGCCCTTGGGATGGGGGGTCGAAGGCATCAGAGAAGTGACCATCATGACTGCACTAGCACGCCTTCAAGCTCAGCTGGCACCTCACTGCTGCATTCCCCTTGGTTATCTGCTGCAAGTCTTTCCCTCTCTTCAGTGCCAGTATTCAGCAGAATCACTCCGTTTTGCTACTTTATGGGAAAAAGAGAAACAACCCTGTCTCCATGTACCCTTGACCTTATCCTCTTACGTGTTTTATTCTCTTGATTACTTTCTCTTGAGCTCTCCCTTGAGCCCCCCTCCCTACAGCAGCACTCCCGTTCTTCACTTCTCTTGCCGTCCTATCTAGCTTCCTCCCCATCTTCCCTCTTCACTGAGACCGTTCTTGTTGGCCTTCAAACTCTGAATCAGTGACACCTCTTTCTAGACCTCTCCCGAGCAGCGACAATCCTGACTACACCTTATGTCCATCTCTCCCATCTATATGCCTGTCATACCACTCAGGTTTGAATTCCCTTTCTGCCTCCTTTGTGGCCCTTTGGTCCAGAAATATCTGTACGTCCAGGGCTTTCTATACTTGGTCCTATGCCTTTATCTCTCCACACACCAGGGCGGCACTGGCTCCATAACAGAATGTCCCAAGAACTGAACATGTCACCAAAGGAGACTGCTGGCCCACGTGATCCGCCATCTTTTAACTCTCACCAGTACTCTAGCAGGAACTATTGTACCCAAGATACAGAACGAGAACTGAGGCTCAGAGGAGCTCAGGGCCTTTCCCACGCTCAGAATCTTAGCTCAGGCTGTAGGACAACAGCCTTCATTCCTGAGCACGACGCGCACCGTCAGTTCCCAGAGGAGCAAACTGAGGCTCAGGCTGCCCCGGAACCGGGGGCCCCGGAGGCAGGGCAGGGGGCACGCCCGCTCTTCCTAGTTTTCGGTCGGGGTTATCCCTAGGGTGCAAGAGGAGGAGGGGAACAAACGGAAGCGTATTCCCGCAAGTACTTCCAGCCGCGCGGGAAATTGCGTCGCTGAGGAAACCGCTCAGGTCGGGACGCAGCCCACAGATCCCGAAATACCGTGACGCCTGCGCGGGCAGCGAACCGGAAGTGAGTCACCGAGGGGCGGGGAGCCCTCCGGCCGCCACCAATGGGAGTGCCGTTTTTGCGTTCGTCCCGCCCCGGGGGATGCCGGGAGTCCGCCTTCCGACCGCAGCCGTTCACAGGCTGGGCAGTTTGGCTCCTGCGATGGGTAAAGCTCCGCGCCGGGAGCGGCGGGCAGGCGGGCGTGGGAGAGAGGCGTCTGGGAAGATGAGGGCGGGGTTAGGCGGGACGGGCGTGCAGCTCGGCGCGCGGGGAAACAGGCCCAGAGGGGGACGCGGCCGCTCGTGAGCGGGACTGAACCCCGCGGAAATCACACAAGTAACCCTCAGTGGAGAAGATAGCCTAGCGCTACTTGGCGAAAACCGCCGAATACAGACTACGCCAGCTGCTTTCACTTGCGGAAGAGCAGCCTCCGCTGCCCTCCCAAGTGCTCCTGCGTGGCGGGCGGATCTTGTAAAGCCCGGAGGCTGGCTGCAGCGAGTCCAGACCGCCCGGGTTCTGACAGGCGTCCCCCGCGGGCCCCGAGCGCAGTCCCGGCTCAGCCAAGCCCGTGCGTGTTGCCCGAGGAATAACGGGCCCTAAATGGCCCTCCTTAGGTCAGGTCACGTTTTCACACCTGAGAAGGAAGATTTTGTTTTCAGGCTTTTGTGATGTGAGAAGTAGAGATAAGGGACCCACGTCGTAATTTTATTCACTCATTTTTCTCGCTTGTGAGTTGCCGCCTTGGCTCTGCCCCTCTTAACGGGCGTCTGTATCCTCTTAGCCTTAGTTTCTTCATCTGTACAATAAGGTTCACCTGAGGAGTAAATGACGCTGTGCGTGAAGCTCCGGCACTTTGTCTAGCATACGACCTAATGATAAAACAGACGTTTCTGTTTTA